CTTCCCAAACCGGGTAATTGTGTTTAGTAATTGGCCTTCGCGCCTGCGAGGTAGGCACCCGCTGCCACTGCTGGTCGCAGGACCTCACGTGGGGGTGTCGCGGGTCTAGGAGGGGTGCTTCGAGTCTCGTAGGGGTGCGGCGGACCTTGCAAATGTCTTTTGGGAGGGATTGCCGCGGGTCTCAAGAGGCTGTCATGGTGGACCCCGTTACAGTGGATCTCACGGCTGTCTTTGCGAGGGTGGCGGGATTCCTCGGATACTTCCGCGAGGTCAGTGGCACTCCCGCGAGTACTGCTAGTCCCGCGACACCCCCTCGACAGGTCCTGCCGCCCTCAGTGGTACCGGGTGCCTACCTCGTAGGCGCAAAATCCAATTACAAAACACCAATTATATCCGTACCTAGACGTTTGCGCCCACTAGTTCATTGGTGAAAAATGGTTCCCTAGGGATGCCCAAACTGCCTGCAAATTATTGACACATTGAGGAAACTCACCCTGTATTTTCTCAACTATGCACTATTTTGTTCATTGCATATGGTATTTAGTCCATTAAACCGGACTTTTTGTCATTTGCAATGTATTTTTCAATTTCTACATCATCTATTCACAATTTTATCTTTAAAACGGTTTAAATTGTGCACAGTTAAAGAGATAATAGTACATTTTACGTTTGCTCAAAAACCGTTATGAACAAGAGAGAAAAAAGTCCATATAGGTCGGACTGAGAGTGTAGGCTTCAAGAAGGGCCTATCGGTCTGAAGGCGTAGTTCTACGCATGAATGAAGCGTACAACTACGCTTTGGTTTTACCAGTGACGTTAATACGGTATTAAACAATCCCTCAGTACGAGCCGGAGAGTGCATACACCTCGAACTCTTAATTGACGTGTGGAGTTCTTCACACTTGGTTTAGTAGTGCACAGTGAAGAAAAGTCCGTCCCTGAGAGTGAAAAGTGTTGATGACCCCACTGAGAATCCAAACGCTATCAGTAAGCGTCAATTGGTGCAATGCAAAAACATTGCACATGAAGTGCAATGCTTCCCAATTCCAATGCATTAGCATAGGGCATCTTCGGGACGCATTGCACGTAAGGTGTAATATGACTGAGGCGTTGCACGTATGGTGCGATATCTCAGTGCTACATTCATAGCTTTTGGAACCTCAGTGCCTAGGAGGAATTATGGACCTTAGCACACTCTCAGACTGTTATTGACTTTTTGTCCTTTGTTAAAGAGAATTTTACACAGCAATTAAAAGTACTATTTCCTCAATATTTATGTAGGATTTTGTTTGTTACATTGACATGAAGACAATTTGCTATTGACAAAGAGTCAATTGCAATTGGACTTAACAAATAGTCAATAATTGATGACAATTTGGTCTTGATAGTGAACAATATTGTACATGGTTACAAAGGACATGCTACACATTATTGCTGCTTAAAAACTACGCAAGCAAAGGACAGAATGCCAATAATGGAGAGAAAAAAGTCAATACGAGTCTGAGAGCGCAGGTTTGCTGTCTTTTGCAGATCCGCAGCTTCGGCGACGAGGCACGCCGCATCCGCGTGACGACGGTGGACAACTTCCAGGGAGAGGAGAGCGACATCGTCATCCTGTCGCTGGTGCGCAGCAACCGCGACGGCAACGTCGGCTTCCTGAAGCTGGAGAACAGGGCCTGCGTCGCTCTGAGCCGCGCCAGGGACGGTGCGTACCCTTGAAACATGGTGTCCAGAAACTGGACGACAAATGTCAGCCGCCTCATGTCACACTCAGACTACTGGTATTGACTATTTACCTCTTGCCATAAAGCAGGGGGTGGCAACGGCCTAGGGAGAGCGTGAAGCGATGCTCGCGCCGTCAGTGCAGAGGTTGCGCACTTGTTCGAGAACATAAAAACTAGACAGTGTTTTTTAAAACGCTTTGCACCGATGGAAAGGGCTTGAAATTTAGGGTGCATTAGGCTAATTGTTCTTCTCGAAACTTCCCCCCTGACTTTTTGTTAAGGCGCAGTGAAAACACCGAAAAACACGAGAAATCATCAAATTCAGGAAAAACTCGAATGCGCCATGTTGATCTAAATGATTCCGCCCTTGTGTTCGGTTGAATTGGAAGTATCGGGCAGTCTACTAGGCCTAATGCACCTTAAATTTTGTGCTCTTTTGATCTGCGCAAAGCGTTTTGCAATCAACGGGCTAGATAGGCCGTTGCCGCCCCCTGCATAAAGGTTTTTGTGCAAACGTAATAAGTACTATTTTCGCTTTGGCTGTGCACTATTTTGTTCATTGTATAATGTTTTTAGTCCATTAAACCGGACTTTTTGTCATATGCAATGTACTTTTCAATTTCTTCATAATCTATTCACTATTATATCCTTAAAACGATCAAAATTGTGCATAGTTAAGGAGAAAATAGTCCATTTTACGTTTGCTCAAAAAATGCTATAAGCAAAAGAGAAAAAAGTCTTAGGTTTGTAGTGTAGCTTTTCGCCCAAAATCGAACATGTGCGCAAAACGCACGAATTCACGCGCTACAACGCTCACTTCGGTGCTGAGTTCCGCACAATTTCGCGCGTTCAGAAACGCATGCACAAGTTGCACAACTTCTGCATGTAAAACTACATGGTGCTTTAGTGTGAAGGCGGCAACGTTGTCTAATCGCGCCTGGGCGGCGCCTGCATTTTGAAGGGAACGGCCACATAGCCTCTACACCAGTGTGTTCTCAGGTTCTTGGGGAGAAATCTCTCGCCATGCACTTAAAAACTTTGTTGTCCCTTCATAACAAAATCGTAGATGATGTTTTCATCCCTTTTAAATGATGACACTCAGCACATATTGATGACATTTTTATCAAAGATCATATCATATCAAGATTGGCGGCATACACACTAAACGATTTTGTACAAATTTCGTACGAGACGTCACAGAGTGTTGTGCTCACGAACTTCTTGTACAATTTTGTTCGTGGTTTTGCACTAAAATGGGGAAAAATGTGCATTTTTTCGCACGAAAATGGCACGTTAAGTTTATCTGCACAAAAAAACCGAGGTGTCTCGCACAAAATGATACACAACATTTAGTGTGTATTTTAAACTGGCAATGTTAAAGGTTTTTGTTTCCGCAGGTCTGTTCATGTTCGGTAACTTGGACTGCCTGGCGGCGTCCGGGGCGCCGATTTGGGGACACGTCCGGCGCGTGTTGACCGAGGCGGGTCGCGTCGGGGACGCCCTGCCTCTAGTGTGCCTGCACGGCAAGAAAACGGCTGCCAGGTAAGTTTTGAAGTCCAAGAAGTTTTGAAGTCTTTAGGTTACTCGTGGCCCTGCCCCATGCACACTGGTCTGAAGTGTGTGCCTTTAGGCACACTGCTTTAAACTGTGCACACAGTGTTTAACTGTGTGTCCAGCTGCCCAGGACTCGCAGTATCGGTCAGGCTCGCTGTGAGCTTGGTGAGCACACGGTTTTAAACAGTATATGCCTACAGTCACACACTTACGAATAGCGCGCACATAGGCATACCGTTTAAAGTGTGTTTGCGTTTCCAGAGTACTCTACAAATCGAAGAGCGTACATTGTATGCTCTAACTGGAGCATGCCCGCAAGCACGCTCTAGTTAGCGCATGCCTGCCAAGCATGCACTTACTAGTGCATACATGGCATGTGCCGTACGCTAGCTGAAGCATGCATCTAGTGCACAAGGGATAGGGAGATGCCTGCATCAGGAAGCGTGTACATGGCATGTATGCACTAGTAAGTGCATGCTTGGCAGGCATGCGCTAGCTAGAGCATGCTTGCAGACATGCTCCAGTTAGAGCAAACAATGAACGCTCTTCGATTTGAAGAGTTATCGTGTGTACAAGTTTGAGCTGCGTGGTGGATTCGTCGGCTCAACTGCACCTTTTTTGCTACCTAAAGCATCTAAGTTGGCCCCGTGTTCCAGGTGCGGTGCAGACGTGCGGTTGGCGGCGGCGGGTTGCTCCGAGTGCCGGCTGAGGGCCCCCATGGGGGCGGCCGGGGCCGACTCCCTGGGGACGCGCTGGGCCGAGTTCCACGAGCGGCGCCACGCCGACGGCCCGGACGCTGAGGAGGACACGACGGTGGATTCGGCTGAGGGCTCTCCGCCGGCTGAGGGAGTCGCGCAGCCCGTGGTGACCCCTGCGGACAAGGGCTCAGCGGACGCGCCAGCAGCCCCACAGCTCAATCTTCTGTCCGCCCTGCGCGGACTGGGGCGCGGACGCCGCGTAGTGCCGTGTGGCCTGGACCTCGTTGGCGAGCGCCGGGTGGACGACGTGGGACACTCTCCACGGACTGCCGACGGACGGCAACCTGGGCCATCTGAGGCGTCCCTTCTACGCGTGGCGGGGCGTGGGCGCTTCACAGGCCTCGGATCCTGCAGCCTGGACGCTTGCAAGAGCTCAGCGCCTCTGTGGCTGAGCGACGCACCGGGGGCCGGGCAGCCCCTGTTGCCCCTCGGCCGCGGCCGCGGGCGTAAGCTTCGGGCGTAGAGGTGGACCGCTCAGGCATCCCATGTCCTCCGCCTGAGCCTGGCGAGGCATGTCTGTGCGCAAGGGAAGACTCCGCTGCATTCCGGCGACCGTAATATAGCCAGTGCACTGTTTTGTCTTCTTTCACTATTTCTCTGGTCAGACCTACTGTTTTGTTACAGGCTAAAGGCAGAATGTCTTCTGTCAATTTCTCAGTTTGACAGTAAGTTTGATCTAAAACTTTCCTGTTAATTGCTAGTGTACTGTATTTATTTGTTGTTTTTTTTTCCTATTCGTGTAGTGATGAATTCACGAACTGAAAATTTGTGTTGAAGAAAATGAATCACAGCATGATTTGTACTTATTTTCTGACAATCTATTTGACCTTAGGCTTTATTATTGATAGCCGGTGAACTATTTTTTGCCTTGTGATAAATTTACAAACTTAACAGTTATCTTGTTGAAGAAAACGAATTAAAGAATGCTTCGTACGTATTTTCCATTATCATTGCCTTCAGACGTTGCTGCGTGCGCGTCCCCAGTCCTCCCCCGTACATTCTCTCAACATTGCGAAGAATGTAATCGCATACAAGAGTCGTATTTGGTTTGCGGCTTGGGAAGAGTTTGGCTTGATTAGATATATTACGGGGGCATTCCACATCATGGCCCAAAACGTACTTGCTCCCGATCCGGCCCCAAATAGTTTGTATCGTAGCCTACTCCCTTAGGAACACTCATAACAAAAATTCAGAACAGTGGCCGTGGTAGTTTTTTAAAAATTAAAAAACTTTCATTTTTAAATATTGTGTCGGCACTCGGATATGTTGAAAATAGTAAATGGCAACATTTTACAGTGAAAAATAAGTTTGGTACTCCCAGTCTTTACAATAAAGTGACTTAAAACTAAAACTACACTTTTTTTTGACTTCACAAAGTATGCCGTTTTTCTTTTGGACCATACTGGCATCAAAGGACCCTGTGGGGGGTACCTTTATTGTCAGCAAAATATTGGGGATGGCAATCCATAAACACCAGAGATATTTTCAAAAAGCTGCAGCAGTTATCTTGGTCCCATTTAGTCAATTTTGGGGGAAATACTATGTTGGTCCCGTGCATTGAAATGTTACACTACAGTCTCTCCATTTCAAGGTGAATGTCAGCATACAAGAGTTTGGGCATTAGGGTCAGTTGGGGTAGGACAAGGGGCAAAAATGGGACAGGTGATTCTTAGTGAAAGTTTGACATTTATTTTAATTTGGATCCAACTTTGGAGCCTTTGAGAGGGTTGAAGGGGTGGCCTCGGGTCTAACGTGTCAGGCCCTTGTCTTCTTGTGCTCTGACGTCCGCATAACCGTTACAAAAAATTACACACTAAATTACCATGTAGGTTTATCTGCGCGCCAATGCACGAAATTAAACATGCACTTCGTAACGTACAAATTTGTGCGCGACAATGCACGAGTTCCTGCAAACTTGCGCACCAAATCGTGCATTATCGCGCCCAAATTCGTGCGTTACGAAGTGCATGTTTAATGTCGTGCATTGGCACGCAGAAAAACCCAGGTAGTAACTTGGTGTGTACCACACTGTAAAAATTAATGTCCGGAATAAACGACGGATCCTTCGGCAAAAAAATTGCCAACGGTTCCTTCGTTAATTTACGAAAGTCTTCGTATATTTACAAAAACCGTCGTTAATTTTATGAACGATCTCTGTCGATTTTACAATCACAATGGAAATTTCCGAAGCACCTTCGTAAATCTACAAAGATCCTTCGTAAATTTACAGGGAACCTTCGTTAATAAACAAAGAACCTTCGTTAATATACAGAGAACCTTCGTAATTATACGTCTGGAATTAACGACGGATCCTTCGGCAAAAAAATTGCCAACAGATCCTTCGTTTATTTACGAAGGTCCGCCGTAGATTTACGAAGACCCGTCGTAGATTAACGAAGCCCGTCGTAAATTTACGAAGGGCTTCGTAAATTTACAACAGACTTCGTACATTTACGATTTTTCTTCGTAAATTTACTAAGAACCTTCGTATATTAACGACGAACTTCCGTTGACTTACAAACGTTCCTGTAGGAAAGAAACATTTACAGTGCACTTTAGGACATTCCCAAAACCCTTCGTAAAATAATCCGTCGTAAATTCACAACATAATTTTTACAGTGCACTCTAGGGAGAGGTGGGTCAAAAAGTATCCACAAGTGCGTAACGTGACTACTCTGCAAACTCATCAGTGTACTCAGTACACGCCAGTTAGAGTGTACTCATGAGCACACTCTAACTAGAGTGTACTGAGTACACTGTTGAGTTTGCAGAGTAATGGATGGCCCCTTATTCCTCCACTGGATCCGACTACCTCCTTGGTAACAGCGTGTGTCGTTCCGGCACACCACTCCGCGAAAGTGCTCGACCACGCTTCCCACGGCGTAAACTCTGCCCGCTGAGGTTGTTGGTGAATCAAAGGTGAAGCCGGCTTGAACTTCGCGACTATAGTTTTTGGACGCTGTTTAACACATCTGTTGTGGTAACAAGGTATATGTTTAAGAATCGCTGGACAGGAAGTCAAAGAACTAGGGATCGAAGTGCCGGAAACTTTCCGGAAAATTTCCGGAAATTTTTCGGAAAATTTCGGAAAATTTCCGGACCCCTGAAAAAGTAGGAAATATTGGAAAATTTGGTGTTTTTGAGTTTTTGATTCATAAATGCACACAAACCTGTCTTTACGTTTTCCTTAGTGTATTGCACGATACATTTTACATTGTGCGAGCGACATTTCACCCTCAGCCCTCTCGGGGTCACCTTTTTCAGTTTAATTTACCCAAAAATACACTTCTATCAAAGTTTCCAGTTTGAATTTTACGCCTTCATGCGCGCTTCCGGTCGGAGGAGTTGGAATGGCAAACGCTGCGCCGAGGGCAGGTTGGTACTTGTGTTCTCACACCAGCGAAACCGGGACAGGAACGAGAGTTCAAGTAAAGGCTGGTGTACACTCTACATGTTGTACCATGAACATTCTCCATATTATGGTGAAAATGTTACATACTATGGTGGTGCAGCTGACTTCATAACATACCATTGAGAATTCTGTACCTTACAGATATTTTCACAAAAATTTCATTGGTATTATGGAAAAAATCTCCACCATGATATGTTGGTGCAGCCTTTCACTGTAAGACATTTGCAGTGTAGGCCATCAGCCAACTCCCACCAGGCCGACGCGGAATCTTAGGTCTAGAAAATGAAAATGCCAATCGCTAATGTTGCTAATCGCTAATATTTTGACCGATTTAGAGGTGGTCTTAGTTACCATGAAAATAAATAATTGGTTCCTTTCACCTGTTTCTCCGTTTTTGTTTTTGCGAATAAAATTTTTTCCTCCTTATATCACATTTTAACGCAATAAAGTCAATATTTCACAAATTTCACAAAAAAAATGGAAATTTTCCACTTTTCCGGAAATTTTCCGGGAACTTTGAAGATTTCCGGGAAACTTCGATCCCTACAAAGAACAAAAGTAAGAACGAAAACCGCTTCTGCGCAAGCGCAGACGCTGAATCGGAGTGGTGAGGGGACGTCTGCGCACGCGCAGAAGCGGTTTATGTTACTTTGATCTTTGACTTCCGGTACAGCGATAGCGATTCGTTATATCCTATTGCAACTTCCACTAGAACGCCCTGCGAATACTAAAAGTAACTTGATCCAGAGAACAGAACTTAAAGTCGCAAATATTAAACGGAACCAAAGCTTTTGAGACCCGTTAAACGGGTTGAAGTGTCATCGGGAACTGTTTCCAGCGTGTCTTCTCCTCTGAACCTGCGTTTAAGGTACTATGGAACGCTCGCCACTTTCACTTTTTAAGCGACTGCGAAGGGACATACTGAACGACATCCGGTCACTGAGCGTCTCATAGCTCAAAGCTGTGACCTAATTATCCCTCACTAGTAGAACTTGTGCGTGTGAGAACAATTCTAACTGACTTTAGTTATCCAATTCACTGTAAAAATTATGTTGTGAATTTACAACGGGATATTTTACGAAGGTTTTTTGGGAATGTCCAAAAGTGCACTGTAAATGTTTCTTTCCTACAGGAACTTTTGTAAATCAACGGAAGTTCGTCGTTAACTTACGAAGGTTCTTCGTAAATTTACGAAGAAAAATCGTAAATGTACAAAGTCTGTTGTAAATTTACGACGGGCTTCGTTAATCTCCGACGGGTTTTCGTAAATCTACGGTGGACCTTCGTAAATTAACGAAGGAACTGTTGGCAATTTTTTTTGCCGAAGGATCCGTCGTTAATTCTAGACGTATTATTACGAAGGTTCTCTGTATATTAACGAAGGTTCTTTGTTTACTAACGAAGGTTCCCTGTAAATTTACGAAGGATCTTTGTAGATTTACGAAGGTGCTTCGGAAATTTCCATTGTGATTGTAAAATCGACAGAGATCGTTCAAAAAATTAACGAAGGTTTTTGTAAATATACGAAGAGCTTCGTAAATTCACGAAGGAACCGTTGGCAATTTTTTTGCCGAAGGATCCGCCGTTTATTCCGGACATTAATTTTTACAGTGAAGACCATCGGAACAGTCAGTGCGGGCTCACAACTATTTCAACTGCTGAGGTGGCTAAAGCAGTGCTGACGGACAGGTCTTTTCATTTGTCTAGCTCTGATCTTTTCGTCGAGAACCGTCCGTTAAATTAACTTTATCATTCAATAATTTCGTGGTTTAATTATTTAGCGAGGTCGATAGGGAGGCCGTTAGGATTTTGGAGAACCTTTGCATATCTTGACAAGGTGGGTGTACGCCAGACCGTGGCTTCATCATGCTCCGCCGGTTCCGCCAATCCGAGCATGGCGCTTCAGCCTACCTTGGCTTGCGGCGCTAGCCTGCGGCAGGCTCCTTTGCCAGACATCAGCACACAAATCGACGAAATCGACGTGGTGGCGAGTCGCAACAGCGTTCGCCTTAAACATTTTCTCCAAGATCCTGAACTGACCAACTGCCGAAGTCGGGCTCTGGGACCATCTTTCCCACCCCTCATTGAAAAGGTCGTGGCTAAACCTATCGAAACCGCATAAAAACTTTTCAGTGGGTCGACCCCCTTTTTCCATGATCCTGATTTGATCATCTCGTGGAAGCAGCCGATATTGTCGGAACTAGGACCATTGAAAATTTGTCTGGTCAGCTCGATTCGAAAATTCCCCGTTCATGCCGTCCAAGCACTAATTACAAGGTAGGTTTACGCCAGACCGCGTCTTGTCGTAACAGGCTTCGCGATGTCTCGCGGTCTGTTCCTCCAATCCGCGCCTGGCGTACCTACCTTGGCCTGCGGCGCTAGCCTGCCTTCGGCAGGCAATGCTTGCCCATCATCAGTTACTTCTGAATTGTTGCATGCTGGGGGGCTCCGCCCCCAGACCCCCTTCACTCTTTATAGAGTTGCTTCATCTACAAATTACACGACCTTGACCTTTGTAACTTTTCAACTTGTCAGGTTAGGAGGCTCCGCCCCCAGACCCCCCTTTCATCAAGACAGGAGAAATCTACCTGCAGAAAACTCGATTTTCGCCATTTTTTAGGTGTTTTTCGGCTATAAAAACTCAACCAGTTGAGCTAGGAAAGTGAAATTTCGCGTGTGCCGAGCCAAGAACATACCCAATAAGGCTGCAAAATCTCAGCCAGATCGGCCGAGCCGTTCAGGAGGAGTAGTGTACACACACACACACACAGACAGACAGACAGAAAAAGTTTTTCAACCCCACTGGAGTAACAGGCTTCGCTATCGCTCAGCCAATTAATTTTTTAGGCACGAAGTAGCCTTATTTTTTTTTGGGGGGGGGAGGGAGGGGGGCCTTGTCTCTTACACCAAAATTTTAAAAGATTCTAGGCTTCAATAAAATCTCTTTCCAATAAATTTGAGGCTTTGTGGGATTTCCCAATTTAAAAAAAACTGGTTCTTTAATGTTTATTTTGAAAAAATAAAATTTTACTCTAGTTCAAAAGTTGAAGTTTTCGTCAAATGTTTATTTTATCAACTCAGTTAAAACTCTACGAAGAATCGCTTCGTAAGACAAAGAAAATGAAGGCATAATAAAGTCTACGAGGAAATGCTTCGTGCTATGAAGCAAAATCCTTCGTAGCACGAAGCATTTCTTCATAATACTAAGCAATTCTACAGTTACTTAATTTTCTTTGTAGTAATAAAGCAAATGCTTCATAGGCTTTTAAGAGTGCATTCATGTAATCAGAATGAAATAGTCTTGATCAGTACCCAACTTTGGTCGAGGTATACTATACTTTATCACTCCAAATTGGGTGAGGAAGGGTGTATCAGTTATCTATTCCATCGTACTATGACCCAAGTTTGAGTGAAAAAACCTTCCTCGCTCAAATTTGGACGATAGAGTTCTCACCCTAAATTTTCGTCATGATCATGACTCTTTTTTTTCTCAGTGTGCATGCCTCTGAAGACGTCTTCTGTTTCCAGATTCCGATGGCTGTTAACCCAGAGCACTCGATTTCGACAAATTTTTAGTCTTTGGGCATGGATAATGAAGATGAGGTCGGTGATTCGGGTGGATGCCGGCCGGACACGAATACCCAATAAGGCTGCAAAATCTCAGCCAGATCGGCCGAGCCGTTCAGGAGGAGTAGTGTACACACACACACAACGAGACGACAGCGACAGAAAAAGTTTTTCAACCCCACTGGAGTAACAGGCTTCGCTATCGCTCAGCCAATTAATTTTTTAGGCACGAAGTAGCCTTTTTTTTTTGGGGGGGGATGAGGGGGCCTTGTCTTACCCAAAATTTTAAAGCTCAGGCTTCAATAAAATCTCTTTTCAATAAATTTGAGGCTTTGTGGGATTTCCCAATTTAAAAAAACTGGTTCTTTAATGTTTATTTTAAAAAATAAAATTTATCGTTTAAAAAAGTTGTAGTCTTCTCAAATGTTTATTTTATCAACTCAGTTAAAACTCTACGAAGAATCGCTTCGTAAGACAAAGAAAATGAAGGCATAATAAAGTCTACGAGGAAATGCTTCGTGCTATGAAGCAAAATCCTTCGTAGCACGAAGCATTTCTTCATAATACTAGCAATTCTACAGTTACTTAATTTTCTTTGTAGTATAAAGCAAATGCTTCATAGGCTTTTAAGAGTGCATTCATGTAATCAGAATGAAATAGTCTTGATCAGTACCCAACTTTGGTCGAGGTATACTATACTTTATCACTCCAAATTGGGTGAGGAAGGGTGTATCATTATCTATTCCATCGTACTATGACCAATTTTGAGTGAAAAACCTTCCTCGCTCAAATTTGGACGATAGAGTTCTCACCCTAAATTTTCGTCATGATCATGACTCTTTTTTTAGTGGGGTGCCCCTCTGAGGACGTCTTCTGTTTCCAGATTCCGATGGCTGTTAACCCAGAGCACTTGGAGTTCGACGAATTGGACCCGAAGGGCCTAGGAGATGCAGGTGGTTCGCGGGCGGTTGGGGAACAGGCAGCGTGACATCGCGAAGCCTGTTACGACAAGACGCGGTCTGGCGTAAACCTACCTTGTGTATTTAGTCCATTAAACCGGACCTTTTGTCATTTGCAATGTACTTGTCAATTTCTACATGATCTATTGACAATTTATTTTAATAACGGTCAAAATTGTGCATAGTTAAGGAGAAACTAGTACATTTTACGTTTGCTCAAAAAACGCTACAAGCAAGAGAGATAAAAGTTCCTATAAGTCTAGAGTGTAATCTGCGAAACTTGTAATTTTTCGCTATTTATGAACCACTGCTTCGCAAGGTAGTAAGAGTTGGATTGGCGGTAATTTTTATTGTGAATCAACAGGACGTGGATCGGTGCGTGGTGTGTTGCGCAAAAGCAACCTTGACCTGCGACGACTGCGAGGATGAGTTCTACTGCTCGGACGACCACATGGAGGACCACGAGAAGATCCACCGGAAGGTGTGTGTCCCCAAAGCACTATCAGAGGAAAGCGCCAGTTCTGAGGAGTCCTCGGAGTCGGACGAGACTACCCCGTCCATCTCTCAGGTAAGACCGGGGTTACGAGCTTGTTCCGCTGTTCGAAAGGACTCGCTGCAAAGAGTTTATTTCACTAACCCGAATTATCACTTGCCCGAATGCTCACTACCCCGAATCTTTACTAACCCGAAAACAAGATCATTTAGTCAAAAACTAAATTTGTTTCACTGACCCGAATGGTCACTAGCCCGAATTCGACGCGCCTTAATTGAATAATCCTAACCGTCAGAGCAGATCCAAGGCTGATCCAAGACAATCGTAACTGTCACTGCAGATTTAGAACTATCTTAACTGTAGAGGTACCTAAAAGTTTTCATGAAGTATTTCACTGCAAATCAGAGCATCTCGATATATCTGAAATTCAATGTCCACGTATTTATTTAAGGATAAAACTTAGTAACGAGCCCCGGGTTTGAGAAAACACCGCTTTTCACGTGGTGTGCCGTTAGGATAGTTCTGAATTGACTCAAAAAATTAGGATTGTATTGGATCTGCTCTGACAGGATTGTCTTGGATCTACCCTCACTGTGCGAAAAAATCACAATGAATCCCGTTAATTTTTTTGCCGGGATTTACTGTAGTTCAGAACACAGGATTTACCGTGCCTGGCTACAGTATCTACTGTACCTGCTACAGGATATTCCGTACTTCACTCCTGTGGTACAGTAAATCCCGTACAAGGTACAGTAGATCCTGTTAAAAAAGTACAGTAAATCCTGTACTCTAAACTACAGTGACAGCTGTACTAATCACTACAGGATTTACTGTGATTTTTTCCCACAGTGCTGGCAGTTGGGATTATTCTGTATTCTGTTAGGACGCGTCGAATTATCACTAGCCCGAAAGCATGCGTGAGGGAGCGTTGTTTCACTAGCCCGAATGGTCACTAACCCGAAAGTGGAGCTTTTCCATTCCCTGTCTCACTATTCGTGTTTTCAACAAACAGTTGCGTGTGATCAGGTACCGTCACATTCAGGCACCGTTGCAGGAAGTAAGAGTGGAGACGTACTCTACACTCTCAGACTCGTATTGACTTTTTTCTCTCCATTATTGCCTTTTTGTCCTTTGCTTACGTAGTTTTTTAAGCAGCAATAATATGTATTATATCCTTTGTAACCATGTACAATATTGTTCACTATAAAGACTAAATTGTCATCAATTATTGACTATTTTTTAAATCAATTGCGTATTGACTCTTTGTCAATAGCAATTGACTTTAAGTCAATATAACGAATGAAATCTTACATAGATATTGACGAAATAGTACCTTTTATTGCTGTGTAAAATACTCTTTAACAAAGGACAAAAAGTCAATAACAGTCTGAGAGTGATGGCCTGTACTATAAAGATGAAATTTCTGAGGGTTTCAAATCTGATCTCAGATTAATTTGTGATGTGACTCTCCGTTCGCTCGCAATAAGGTTCATTTGAAACAAAAACATTTTTCATCAAAAACATTTCATCTTGATCAAAGGTATTAACTGTCAATATGGATTCACCGATACTGTTTCTCATTGTTTAGGACTCGCCGCTGCTGCGCGTGCCCGAGGAGGTCCTGCTGCAGGTGTGCCGTTCGCTGCAGGGCTCGGACCTTGTCCGCCTGGGCTGGGTCTGCCACTCCCTGCGCGTCCTGTGCAGAAACGCTCGTGCGTGGAGGCACGTCAAGTTCCCAGGCGGCGAGAACTGGAGCCACGCGGAGTTGAGGCAGGGGAGGGCGCCTCCTAACAAGTGCAGGAAGCTCCGCCCGAAACAGTATGGCGTGCTGCGCGTCGCCCCAGCCCTGCACACCCTGACCGTGTCTCACCAGTGGCCGCCCGTCAACCTGCTGCGCTGCACCAACAACGTCAAGGTTCGCTTTCTCCACACTAAATGTCATGGGACTTTTTTTGTCTCATGAATGATGCAATTTTAAGCACATCCGGTGGTGATGCAACTTTGTGTCCGCCGGGCGGTACAAATTGTCTAGTGAAACTACGATTTGCAGTAGGTGTCGGACAAAATGTGTCGCTAGGCGGGAACAAAATTGTATCAGCGTCGGATGTGCTTAAAATTGCATAAGTCGTGGGGGGACCAAGTCCCATGACATTAAGTGTGTCGGCCTTCCAAAATATTACGCCCTACTCGAAATTTTGGCCGCTCCCGCTGAGGCGAGACTTAAGTCTTAAAGGCTGACGGAGAAGCGTCCCCTCACGCATACACTCTAAATGTCTTGCGAAGAAATTTCCCAAAATACGAAGGAAATGGCGCAAGCATAATGGTTTTTCTTCGTATTACAAAGGTTTTTCTTTGTATCTTGCAATGAAAAAGCTATATCTCCGTATTATGCTTGCGCCGAATTCACTGTAACATACGGACAACATAGGTCCTAATTTCATTGTTAGGCGTTTTGAGTGTAGGCGCACGAAACTGTTTTAATATTCTCACCTCGGGATTCTCTGCGTAGGTGTTCGAGTTCGAGTGGGAGATGGATCTAGAGGATGAGGACAAGAACAAGCTGTACCATACCATTCGGCACTATCGCCACCACCTTGAGAAGGTGAAGGTGCCCTTCCTGGAAGGGATAAAGACCTTTCGTCTCATCGACGGTCTGACGAAGATTCAGGAGCTCTACGTCGGCAATCAACTCGTTAAGGTGTACCCAGGCAGTGAAAAAACCATCACCTCTCTAACTCTGGGCTGGTCAGTGAGCGGCAAAACAGCGGCCGAAATCATCAAGGCCAACAGAGACAGGTAAAAGCTTTTCTTGACTGCGTTATTCGGAAACGGGCGCTCTGCCTCTAAACACGGGGATTGCGGTGAGGTCGTGTCCATTGACATTCAGCGGTGACGCGATTTTATGCGCAATCATACTTCTGTCAATTTTTTCATCCGGCTCCTTAGCCAGGCTGTGGACCCAGACCTTCCCACTTCCGTGAAACCAAGTTCCGAGAACTTACCAGTGAAATGCAGAGGTGTGGAATTTTCAGTCCTCATACTTGCAACGGACTCCACCCGCCCAAGTGAGGCGAGAGTAACCCCCAGCCCCCACCCCAAAGAAAGTGTGCAGTTCTCCACGCCTGATTTGCCAATGCCACGGTGAAAACGGTTCCTCGTTTTCCCAGGAACTACCTGGAAATCGCTTATGTCTCTACCATAGGCTTCCGGGGAAAACCACTCACTAAATGTCATGGGACTTTTTTTGTCCCACGGTTTATGCAATTTTAAGCACATCCGACGCTGAAACAATTTTGTTCCCGTCTGGCGACACATTTTGGCCGGCGCCAGCTGCAACTAGTACTTTCACTAGACAATTTTTCCCGCCTGGCGGACACAAAATTGCATCACCACCGGATGTGCTTAAAATTGCATAAACCGTGGGACAAAAAAGTCCCATGACATTTAGTGTGCAGGTACCGTTCTTACGGTGTGGTTTCTTGGACTAGATTGCACCCCTCTCCTTTCCCCTGCCAGACCTCTGACCGAGGGGTACGTAACTCTCGAAAATCGTGTACAGCGACTGTAAAAGTCAACAGTCAATTTGACTGTTTTGACTGTAATTGACTGTAGATGACTGCAAAACAGTCTAGTTCTGCTTGGGTGGAAGTCGACTTTTAGACTGTGAAATGACTATGTTGATTGTAGGATGACTGCTTAGAGTGTAGAATGACTGGTTTCCCCCCACAGATCTGATCAAATATGCGAACAAAACCTTACAAGAACCGAAATTTTAAACGTTACTACAAAATTTCCGAAAAGTTATTCAAAGTCACTTTACATCTTGTCAAAAAGAAGCTTACTGAATTATCTAGAAGGAATACAGTACAAAATCACAAAATTTTTATCCTTTTTCGCTAATAAAATGTTTTTACAAAGTGCTTGTAACATGTATGAGCCTCCTAAACGTGCAAAGTTTGACTGAAATTGGCTTTTGACTGAAGTGACTGCCAATTGACTGTGTGACTGTTTTTGGGACTGTTTTGGAGGCGTACAGTGACTGTTCTGAGTTACGTACCCCTCGCCTCTGACAGTTACGACTGATGTTAGAGAACAATTTTTGTACCACGATTTACTCTATTTCAAGCACATCAGACGGTGACACAAGTTTGTTTCCGCCTGGCGATGCATTTAGTCCTACGCCTGCTGCAAGTTCTTCTTTCATTGCACTGCTAATCCAAGTGTGGACGAAGTCCACGCTAGGTAGCGTGGACCACGAATGGTCCACGCTAGGAAACGTGGACCACGAATGGTCCACGCTAGGAAACGTGGACCACGAATGGTCCACGCTAGGAAACGTGGACCACGGATGGTCCACACTTGGAAGTGTGATTGGCCTATGAGAAGTCCAACGCTGTGAAGCGTGGACCACAGCTCTGTCCACGTTTCCTAGCGTGGACCATCGTGGTCCACGCTACCTAGCGTGGACTTGGTCCACACTTGGATTAGCAGTGTGAACATCTTTTGTCGCCAGGTGGACGCAAAATATTATCTCTGTCGAATGTGCTTAAAATTGCATAGGTTATTGGACAAAAAAGTTGTATTATATTTAGAGTGTACTTTCGCTAACGCGAACGAACAAGTGTGATAACACTGCCCACGTGCAGGGTATAACGTTACGAAATGGGCCACGGTCCCATTTGTCGTGAACTTTGGTTTGGTGACGCGGCGCTACGAGCGCCCTTTGTCACCACACTTTCATACGTACTCATCATTGATCGCATTACAGAATATCTCACAAAGCGACTTGTCATTCAAGCTCTGTTACTGCACTCTAAATGTTGTACAGTGAAGATTCTCCATATTATGGTGAAAATGTTCCATATTACGATGGTGCAGCTGACTTCGTAACATACCATTGAGAATTCACTGTACCTTATGAAGATTTTGACGAATTTCGTTGGTATTATCTCCACCACATTATGTTGGTGCAGCCTTTCACCGTAAGACAGTTACTGTCTGTCCTCTATTAAATTTCTCCGGTTTTCAGCCTGTCCTCTTTCTCCGTGGACATCTACACTGGTGACAACCTGTGGATGGACGCCTCCCCCAAGTCGGCCTTCTGCCGCGCGCTCAGGCTGTGCACGGGCCTGCGCGACGCCAGCATCCCGACCTGGGGCGACATCTCAATCATCGACTCGTTTCCACTGCTGCGTTCACTCACGATCTTCAGCTTCGGCAAGGAGCAGCACCTGGCGGCCAAGCACTTCTTTGAAGCGTCGCGGGTGGTGCGCGGTCTGCACAAGCTGAGCCTGCACATGGGGCAAAGTACCCATAGAGGGCTGATCCAGGTGAGAGGATGGATACATGGGGTAGCAGTACGGCACTTTTAGGCGCTCCGTGCCGCACAGTGGGCTAAAACACCCTTTTAGGCGCTCAAAACCTCTTTCTTGAAAATCGTTTAAACGGGCAAACTTTTTCTCTATCGGATAGGAAATTTTCTGCAGATTTCAAATCTGGTCGTATTTTTGTTGTCAGACCAAAACTACGACCACTACAGGCCGTCAAAGTTAAAACTTGTGATAATGTGTTATTTTTAGTAAAAAATGCAACAAAACGCCACAACGATTTTGACGGCTTTGCATCTACATTTTGAATCTCCAGTGGTTCCATTTTAAAGAACAAGTATTCCCGTTCAAAATGATACCCGAGTTATCTTCCTGCGATAATTTGAGGGGTGTTGGTGTGCATATAATCGCTTTATTTGTATAATTTTTACTTTAAAAACAAAAGTTTGAGATCTACTATAGAATCAAGCACTATCAAGGAGGTTTCAGCGCTGGCAATTATTGACCTATGTGTCAATTGAAAGGATCAACAGAGAAAACCTGCGCATATTTGCGCAAACAGTAATACACGGCTGTGAAACATTATAAAATTGGCAATTTCCCCGTTTTCGGTAGAAAATGCGTCCCAACGAAGAAAGAATCCATGCAACCGTGTCTCCATCCCAACCATCCCTTATCTTTTCACTTGCTATTTGGCTCCTTTTCCGGAGCCCCCCGCCCCTTCTCTACAGCTAACCCTCCAGAAAAGGCCACCCGGAAATGCAACAGAATTGATGGTAATGCAGATCTTCTGACCGCAATGTTGTTTCATCTCATCCTGTGATCAGCTCTTTCAGGAAAAAAAACCTAAAGCCAAGTCTTAAAAAATGTGTGCCGCAGTTCTTTCACTTTTAGTTGACCCCTTTGATGACCAGGCTAATGAGCCTGCCATGTTATTATTCCATGAAGAGTAAAATGATACGTATATCATTTAAAAATTGATTTTAGGAAATTAAAGTTTGACAGTTGCTATAAAATCTGTAACCATGATTTTTTTACAGTATTGTTTTTAAGAACGTACATATAATTTAAGTGATGTTTTTGACTCCTTTAAGCGGTTTTCAATTGTTTCGTCTGCAATTAACATTTAAAAAAGCCTACACTATGTTTTGCATTGATCTAGTGGAAAGAGAGAGTGCTCCCACAGACTCAGAAATATACAACATACAAATACGATTATATTAAATCAATTTTCGGTGACCCACGGCTGAGATAAGGTCACACTTGCCGCCGCTTGTTCAAAATCTCATAAAGTAAGACCAAAAGAGGGTCTGTACCAAATTTGGGACATATACGATCAAAAATGGCTGAAATATAGGTTTTGAGCGCCTAAAATGGTGTTTTAGCCCACTGTGTGCCGTACACTCTAAATGTCTTACAATGAAATGTGACCTATGTATGTTACAGTGAATTCGGCGCAAGCATAATACGAAGCAATATTCCTTCGTAATACGAGTCTTTTTAGGTTTTTCATTGAAAGATACAAAGAAAAACCTTCGTATTATGCTTGCGCCATTTCCTTCGTATTATGGGAAATTTCTTCGTAGCGAGAACGCCGAATGATTCACCCCTGGGACCGAGTCGGTAGACTGCTTGCACTGTAGCAAAAAGCTACCCTGTCCGAATTAAAGTCCGTAAATTTACGGAGAAAGTTACTCTAATTTTGGGAATGGAGACTCATTTAATTTTCCATACTTTTACGGAGAGCGGTTCTCCATTCACACTAAATGTCATGGGACTTTTTTTTGTCCCACGACTTGTGCAATTTTAAGCACATCCGACGCTGATACAATTTTGTTCCCGCCTGGCTACACATTTTGTCCGACACCTGCTGCAAATCGTACTTTCACTAGACAATTTGTACCGCCGGATGTGCTTAAAATTGCATCATTCATCGGACAAAAAAAAGTCCCATAACATTTAGTGTGGGAGGGCCTTTCTCCATCCATTTTCCCTATTTTCACAGAGATTTTTCGTACTTTTACGGAGATGAACCGTTTTTTTTTTTGTTTCAGAAGTAAACGCATTTTAACGGTTTACTTCTGTCCTTTTATCTTCGATGTTAATACAAACAGTGCCTTTTTAGGCGAAAGTGTTACTCTCCTAACTGTTGGAAGATTCACTTGACCCCATGCCATTTGAATTGGATAAATGGACGGAAACCCGAAGGTAGGGTCGCCTAAGGAAGGCGCACTCTTAGAACTTTATCAGTTTCTCATCCGACTCATCTATAACGTAAATTAGTCTGTTCGTTTTGATAAGTGAGGCTTCTTTTTCATTTTTATACGTAACTTCCATATTTTTACGGAGAAAATCCATAATTCCAGAAAACGGAGACCTCTGTATAAAAACATGGACACTCTCCGTTAATTTTCCTTATCTTTACGGAGTTTTCTGACAGTGTACGGCAAGTTCTGTAACACCTTTGGTAATTCTCCGTTGCCCCCTATTGTCAATATTCTTCGGACCGTACTCTGCCAAAAGGTACGGAAAATTCTGTAACTTTTTTTGCCAAGATTCTCAGTCATTTCCGTAGGAACTGGAAGACTGTTGAGTCCAACGGAAGGTCCTACGGAGAAAAATATACGGTCCTGCGGAGTACCGTGAAACGGGGTAACTTCGGACACTTTTGAGTTTTTTTTTTTTTTTGAAATTGTGAAAGTTGTGGTGCTGTCATGGACTTGAGGGTTAAAATTTATCATCTACGCACCTTTAGCTTCGATTTGGCGCTTATTTCAAATATTTGCACCTCACCGTTTTTACAGTGGAGGGTCCGAAGCAGTGTCCGAAATTACCCCGTGTTTTGGGGTAATTTCGGACACCCTTGGAAAAAACGACTTTTCGTTCTGATTTTGGTCCCAAAATCGATCACTGTCTCTTTCTAAAGTGCTATTATGATTATGTGAGAAATTCGTAAGGGTAAAGATGTAAAAGAAAGGTAGGGGTGGTCATTCATACATAATTTTAAGTCATGTATTGCACTCATATGTAGTTCAATTTCAGAAATAGTGGGTGGAACTAGTAGAGCCATTTAGAACGCTTCTATTTGTTAGTTTTTGACCGATTAGCTTTCACAGGCAACTCGGGCCATACTTTATTACGCGAAAGTGAATCTTAAATCTGCCTCTGCAAGATTACATACGATCACATACATGCATATGAAAGGCAAGTAGTCGTGTCGTATGTACGGTTAGGAAGATACAGGGGTTCAGTGGAAAGCGTTGCATAGTAAACCGGCGAGCTATGCAGCCATTCGCCAAGTCCAACTCTCATGTCACATGAAATAAAATTAATCACAAAACAGTCGTTGACACTAAGGTAGAACACGCACATAAAAAAACTAAGTATTAAAGATGTAGCTTTGCCCCATTTTCATGAAATTCGAAGTATACAAAGAAACCGCTGTAACAATTGAGGATTATCGTTGTTATTGGATTATCTTCAACTTTCAGAAGAGCTCTTCAGCTTCCACCACTCAAACCCTGCGAAATTGGAACTGTTCAGGACATACCCACTCTCCCTGGCGTGACGTCTGTATGTCCGAAATTACCCCGTAAAGTAGCATTTTTTTTAGTTTTAAGCCCATATAAACCATACTATTTGACCCAGGTGATTGAAAATTTGACACAGTATGCTCTTAACATGATTGAATAGACAAACAATCCCCTCATGAACCGGCCATGAACAGTTTAGGCTTGCCAGTCAAAGTTTTTACGCATAAAGCGAATTTAGGTAAAAATGGTAAAATACAAAAACCACTATTTCTCCTGGAGTTTGCCCCTGATTTGGCCTCCGGGTGATTGATCAGATGGTTTTAAGTGTGGCCGATGCGATGCGCGCAACGGGACAAGCCTCCAAGTTGGCCGTTAGATGGGAGCATCATCGCAATGCTTCCAGGCAGAGTTGTCCGAAATTACACCGAGTGTCCGAAATTACCCCGTTTCACGGTACACTGTTAGAGCCTCCGAAGAAGATTGCCAAGGGGGCTACGGAGAATTACCGCAAGCTGTTTACAGAATTTTTCGTTGCATTTTGCCAGCGATGCACTGCAAGAAAAAGTGTGGATAGTACAACAAAAGTACAACAAAAACTGTACAATAAAAGTACAACAGGGATTGTAGAAAGTACAACGACAATTGTACAAACCACTACGAGCCCTGGACTGCACAGCACTTGCCATGCCGGTTCCATTGCACTTTGTACAACAATTGTTGTACTTGAAAAGTACACCAAATTCCTGATAAAAAATTTGCCAGAAATTTGTGTACTTTTCTTGTGGTTATTTACTGCAGTGTGGTAGGCAGAGCCTATTCACACCTCACTTCGCATCTCTCTGTTCTGCGCACAGGTAGTGGCCTGCAGCTGCGCTGCGCTGCGCGATCTTGGCCTTCTGTACGTCAACCCAGTCAGCCGGCAAGCACCTCGGGACCTGCACGTCATCCTGGGCCGCCTGGGCGACCTGGAGAGGCTGACGCTGTCCTCGCTCATGGTGCCGTGCTCCGTGTTCCGCGGCTTGGCGGCGGGGTCGCTGCCCAACCTCGCCGAACTCACTCTGGACTCGTGTTTGGTGAGTCTAGCCGCACTCTTTCAGATTCTTTCTTGTCCTTAGCACATTTTTCATGTCGACGTCGTCGTTGATATTTACACACTCAACGTCATGGGAACTTATTTTTTTGTCCCACCGATGATGCAGTTTTAAGCACATCCGATGGTGGTACAATTTTGTGTCCGCCAGGCGGTACAAATTGTCTTATCAAAATAAGTACAATGCAAATAGTAGTTTGCAGGAGGCGTCGGAAAATGTGTCACCAGGCGCGATCAAAAATCTTGCATGAGTCGTAGTGTGTATGTCTATGCATAGGAGTTATTTCAAAAGCATTGCACCAATCACTGCGATGACGGATGAAAACACTGTTAAAAAAGTTATGAATTTTCAAAGCAATTTTGATGACAATTTTACGAATACGGATATGAATTTTACAAACATTGCAATTTTCATAACTTGATGCGAAAATTCGAATTAATTTTGTAAAATTGACAATTGTTGGTAATTTTAAAACCATGCTCTGAAAATTGCGAATCTTAAATGTTGATTTTGAGCACACAATAGTAATTTTCCGAATCCGATTGTAAATTTCATAACTAGCTCAAGAGGCGTGGCCAAGGGGCGCTGGTAGAGTCATCAGTAGCTGACCCTCTACCTCCCGTGGGACGTGGTAGCACAGCGGTAAAGAGCGTGCACCACAAGTCAAAGATCCCGGGTTCGAAACCCGCTGATCAAAAGCAGAATCGGTTCAATAAATGGCATAAGGCCGCTTGGGTGTTCATATACATGAACACTTAGTTGTCCTTTTGCTTAACTGCTCTAAAATGACCTCGCAAACGCGAATATGAATTTTCACAACATGATATGAATTTTCATAACGTGATTGTAAAACAATTTACAATCATTTGTGATTTTAATTTTCATAACAATTGTTTGTGAAAAAAAATGCCAACCAATTTTATGAAAATTACAACTGATTTTTTTAACAGTGAACAAGTTCAACTGGCCAACGGCTTTGGTATCTTTTTTGGCGATACAATTGAGTATCGCCAACAAACGCTCTTAATCGTGCCTTCAAAACGGCAATACTCAGAAGTATCGACGCATTTTTGTAGTAGTTCCGAGTATTGTCTACCTCTGGCAATAAACGAAGACCTAATCCACTTGATTTGTTCAAAATTTATTGCCAAATCCTGGCAATACTCCTAGTATCGCCAAATTTCGGTGACACTTTTTTCGCTACACCGTTTTGAAGGCAAGATGTTTCTGTCAGGTCGTTTGTTGGCGATACTCAAGGCAATACTAAATTATCCCCCCAAAAAAAGATAAGTGGCACCTTTGGAAGAAGAGTGTCAAACGTATCGTACCAACTGACGTTATACTCAACGGTGTTGAGTTCTCCTTGCATTCCAGTGGCATCGCCCAACGAAAGGGTGATGGTTGAGACTCTTTCATTCTCAGCGATAGGTGTACACACTAAATGTCATGGGACTTATTTTGTCCCATGAATGATGGGGCATTCCACGTCAAACCATCATAGTCCAAAACGCACTTGCTCAGATCCGGCTCCCAATTTTTTCTATCATAGCCTACCACTCAAGGACCACTCATGTAAATTTTTTCGAAAAAATATGCAGAACTTTGGCCGTAGCGATTTTTTGAAATTTCAAAAAAAAAAAAAATTCAAAACTTTTTTTTACGTTTTTAAAAATTGTGTCTTTAGGCGCTCAATTGATTGAAATTAGTAAATGGCAACATAATGAAGTGAGAAACAAGGTTGGGGCTCTCAGTTTTTGCCTTAAAGGGCGTTTTTGACCAAAAATAACGGTTTTTTGATTTCCCAAAATACGCCATCTTACTTTTCGACCATATTGGCATCAAAGGGCCCTAGGGGGGGTACTCTTACTGCCAGCAAAATATTGGGGACGGCAATCCATAAACACGAGAGATATTGTCAAAAAACTTTAAAAGTTACCTTAGTGGATCGTCAAAAACTGACTATTTGACACCCATATTGCTCCCGTGCATTAAAATGTTGTCCTAGTGTCTGTCTTAACTCTCTGGAACCATTTCGAGGTGAAGGTAAGCATTACAAGAGTTGAGGCCTACGATTTCTCGCTGTGTAGTGCCTCAACTTTTGTAATGCTTACCTTCACCTCGAAATGGTTCCAGAGAGTTAAGACAGACACTAGGACAACATTTTAATGCACGGGAGCAATATGGGTGTCAAATAGTCAGTTTTTGACGATCCACTAAGATAACTTTTAAAGTTTTTTGACAATATCTCTCGTGTTTATGGATTGCCGTCCCCAATATTTTGCTGGCAGTAAGAGTACCCCCCCCCCCCTAGGGCCCTTTGATGCCAATATGGTCGAAAAGTAAGATGGCGTATTTTGGGAAATCAAAAAACCGTTATTTTTGGTCAAAAACGCCCTTTAAGGCAAAAACTGAGAGCCCCAACCTTGTTTCTCACTTCATTATGTTGCCATTTACTGATTTCAATCCATTTGAGCGCCTAAAGACACAATTTTTAAAAAAGTAAAAAAAAAGTTTTCAAATTTTTTTGAAATTTCAAAAAATCGCCACGGCCTAAGTTCTACATTTTTTTTTCAAAAAAAATTACATGAGTGGTCCTTGAGTGGTAGACTATGATGGAAAAAATAGGGAGCCGGATCTGAGCAAGTGCGTTTTGGACGTTTTTGACGTGGAATGCCCCTGATGCAATTTTAAGCACATCCGGTCGTGATGCAATTTTGTGTCCGCCAGGCGGGACAAATTGTCTAGTGAAAGTACAATTTGCAGCAGGCGTCGGACAAAATGTGTCGCCAGACGGGAACAAAATTGTATCAGCGTCGGATGTGCTTAAAATTGCATAAATCGTGGGACAAAAAAAGTCCCATGACATTTAGTCTATAGACAACACCTCAAGAGCGGGTTTTTGTTTCCCTTCAGTCAATTGTACGCTGGTCTTCCCTGCTCAGGTAACCAATCAGGGGCGCGCTGCCCTGGAGGCAATGCAGGCGCAGCGCCAGGACCTGGCAGTCGTGGGGACAAGGCCGAAGCTCGCTCAAGCCTGGCTGGCGAGCCGCTGCACCGACAGCATGTGTCAGGCAAGTTCCGACTGCGACGAGGATGACCCAGTCTGAAGCACCAATGCCATCCTCCGCACAGAGTCGGAGTTTGGGGCAGTGAAGGGCATTCTCCGGTTGAAGGTTGATGTCAAAGAATGAATGTACCTCTTTGTCTTTCAGAATATTCGATTTATGTTTGATGTTAAATGTATCACTGATTCAAGTTGATTAGAAATAATAAGTTATGTACTCCTACCCCTGGCTTCTTATGGAAAATGTAATTCGTTAAATATTTAAGGTAACTCTAAATAATCTACAGTTTGTTGACTAAAACTTGTTTCGTTTCGGTTTGTGCTTCAATAAAACTTCTATACGGGTCTGGCCAAAAAAGCGTGTTTTTCTATGCCCCGTATTTGTGTCGTTTAAAGCATGGACCTCTCCGTTTCATACAGCCAAAAAGTCACTACACACCTAAATGCCATGGGACATTTTTTTGTCCCACGAGTTCTGCTATTTTCAGCACTCGGCGGTCATACAAAAGCGTCACGTTCATTTGAATATGATGTCACATTCGTTTGAATGTTGATCCACGTTCAAACGAATGTGCCATCGAAATTTAACGGCTGTGCCACGTTCAAACGAGTGACACCGTGTTCAAACTAACGTGACGAGATTTGCATTCCAACAAATGACGTCACGTTCGTTGACAACCAGTGGTGGGCGTCGTCACATTTGCATGTGGGTCACTTAAACTGAGATATGCTTGATCTCAACACTAAGCGGTTCAAACCTTCACAGAGAAAACAGGGAAAATATAGAAAAACTGCCTGGGATAGGAATGGAAAATTCCGGAAACTTTCCAAGATTCTTAGTGTTTATAATTCGTCTTGTTTAAATGAACTCATAACTCATTTAAATGAACGCGGCCAGAGGCCAACGCTCAGGGAGACTGCTGCAAGGCGCCAGGTCGCTCACTCGCTCTTCTTCCACAAGTCCCTCGCCATCCTCGTAACTGCTGTATGCCGGGTCAACACCGGCGGTGGAGAAGGACGAGGTACACATCTGGTCGTGCCTCAAAATGATAAAACAACAGCATCCAAATCATGTTTAAGGGCCAAAACGATTTACGCTTTGGAACGGCGTTAAGGGGAGGTTCTACTGAAAATATTGCATTTTTCAAATTGAGCCCCAGTGTAAACATTTGTTGCAGATGTGTAGTACTACATAGTTAGCAGTCAAACATTAAATTTAGAGCCCAATACCTTCCTCCAAATCCAGTCGAAGAGGTTTTTCCAGCCTTTTTAAGCAGCATCTTAAAAAATTCTCCTTAGCATAGTATTGCAATGTAAACTGATGTTCTGGACATTTTTCACTTCTTTGGCTCACATGCAATAAAGCGTGGCATCACCAAGACATGGGACCCAGCAAATTTATCTTGGCATTGCTTTTCAGAAAAAAAGACACTAAAACATCAGGATTTTTACCATTTTCTTGAAATTTTCGCGACATGCTATCATTAAAACACAGCCTATGATTTTAAAATGGTCCCAGTATCTTACTAATGCCACGGTTTATCAAGTATGAACCAAAGAAGTGAAAAATTACCCGAACATCAGTCTACGTTGAAATACTTTGCGTAGGAGAATTTTTCAAGTTACGACAAGAAATAAGCAGAAAATTCCTCTTCGACTGGATTTGGGGCTAGGTATTGCTCTCCAAACTTCCATTTTTACTACTTACAATGACATACTTTAAATTTATAATGAATATTGATAGTGGGACTCAATTTGGAGGAAGTAAGATTTTCAGTGGAACCTCCCCTTTATCAGTTGATGCCCTTGGAAGGGGTGTGAATGAGTTTGGGGCTGCAAGGCTAAATTTTAATGCCCTTCCAAAGGTATTACCTTGCAGGGTGTGAGAGACAGTTAGAGTTTTGTAGTTTGTATGCCGTCATTTAGTCAGTGAAGAGCAGGTGCCAGGGGGATTTAAAAATGTTAAACGCGATTCACACAGCCGTTGGATAACGTGTATTTCAGTCGCAAACAAACGATTGGTTGAAAACAAAATAAGAAGATCAACAATCAGACGATTCAAGTGGCTGTAGCCAGCGTATTAAATAGAGAAAAACAAAAGGGTTACATTACTGATGGCATCACAAGCAGGAAGTCTGGAATTACCGGTACTCGTCGCACTATACAAAATTCCAATCACGGTCCACAACGGTAGCTTTCAAGGGAGCGCAGTCCCAACAAACACACGACACACACTAACATTTACATGAGTTCTGTAACAATCGTTACGTTCAAAGTGGGGCACGCGCTTCTACACGGACGGATTAG